TATTAAACTTTTTAAGCTTATCTTCAACCCTAAGTATCCAAACTGATAAAATTCATATTCTTTGACAAAATTTTTAGCGCGATAGAAAACACTACCATGATCAAGTTAACAAGAACTTTTGTATTAAGCACCAAGTTTCTGAAACTTACAAATCTTGAACCTCTCTAAACTTTTACTTACCGAGATCGTTTACTGAATTCATACATTTAAAATGCTTATTATTAGCAATTTCTTAAACTTTAACAAAATAAACACTCACTACAGGAAACTCCTACAAAAAAAAACGCATAGTGAGTCGTCTTATAATGTAAAAATATAAGCATAAGAACGGAATACAGTATACCTCATATATTTCAGAATCTTCTTCATTATAAATGCGACAATTTGCAATAATTAAACGTGCATCAGCTACAACCTGATCTGGAGTATCATACAGCTTTTGTTTTAGTTTGTTCATCATCGTACGTAGATCCATCGGCCTTTTGATAATCTGCAGAACAAATTCTTATCAAGAAAAATATGATTTAAGAACTTTTTCAACATGGTGCTTTTCAAGTAAAACTGGACTGAAGCATTTATTACTAAGCAGATAATTCATAAACTTAGCAAAATTGTTTACTGGTGTCCTTCAAATTTTTTTAAATTACTAAATATAAAAAAAAACTCTATTACAACAATTACTTGATAATAGTCAGGAACAATTCTGGCTTCCACTGGTCTAAGAAAAGGCCATGAACTCTGTTGCCGCATCGCTTCACTAATTAGCAATTCACAATCACGAAGCGAATCTCGAGTTCGACTGTTCGAGTCACGTAAGCTCATTGTTACTGATGTGCATTCACTTTTTTCTGAACATGATTTCCGCAGATAAAAAATAGCATGCATACATACAATGAGCTCGTGTTTTATAACTTCATTTTCATATTTTTAAACTTAATCTTTGCAAATTTTCTAATTAGTTTTCTTCAAACTCAATTTATAATCTCATTTTAAAAATATTTATAAGGTTAGCTGACTTACTACAATGTCCTCTGATGTTTAATAAATAATCACTTTCGCTACTATCGTCATCATCACTATCACTTTCTGCATATGTCCCAGCTTTTCTTTTTCGCAATTCTCGTTTTCCCACACTAGAATTATCCGCATATTCTACCTATAAATACTACGATACCAAAACAAAATGTAAATTCATGCTAACAGTCATTGAAAACAACACCTTTTTAACAACGCGTCCACTGGATGTTTTGAATACATCCATTGGTAACTCGAACCTGGAAAGCATTCAGTGATAAGGAATTCAAAATTCACTAAAAAATTGCATTGTAGCCAAGCGAATCACTTAAATTTAATCACTTAACTATAGACAAATCAAAAACGAAACGCAGAAGCATTGACATACTCAACAAATGATTGTTCGATACATTCATCTGTAGATGTGCCACAGGCGTGATCACTTGCTTGACTTGAACTTTGCTCATCCTCTAAACAAATTTTATCTTGCGCTTCAGATTCTATTCTATTAAAAATAATTTTATTAAATGAATAATGCATCTATAACTTGCGATTAAGTTCTAATTTAAATCATGCCTTCCTTGATCATTTGCTTTTTTTTCCATTCCTCTTCAGCTTCCTGTTCCCTCACAAAATCTTCGCAATCAGAACACATCCATCCACAAGGATCCTAAGAACCATTACATATAGCAAAATAAGAGCCACAGATTTGTACAGAATGGAAATTGAAACACAGCAATGAGAAACAGATTTACTTCGATTTTCGGTTTTGCGCAATCTATGTGGTAACATCGATCACAACGAGTACACATGCATAATTTCTCGGTCTCACCCTTTTTTCGGCATTTCCGACATCTTGCCTCAAATTTAGAATGATATAGCAAAAAAAATTCTGGACATTGAACTAAAAGTACCAATACCCGAAAATATTGCCAAGAGTATCTCGAACATGATAAAAAAATCACTACCTGAAGGCGGCTTCTTGTCCACATAATAGCAGATTCCAGGGTTGCATAATGAAGAGACAGAGCTGATGTTGAAGAACATTTTAACAACGATTTTTGCCACTGGTCAAAGGTGGTCGTAGGGATATTTACGCAATTTCTTTCTTTAGAGGAAGCCGTTGCAAATGGGAGGCGCAGAAACTTTATATTTATTCCTTGTACAATTTGTAAAAATGCTAGAGCCAGATGTTCTAATTCGTTTAGCGACTGTACTTGTGTCACACTTAATACTACTTCACCAAATATTTCAAAATTTTCTGAAACAAAAAAGTGAAAGCTAGCAATGGAGAAATAAAAATGACCAAGCATTCATATCTAATTTTTCTGAACTGTCTGACAGGCAGTAGTAACTAAAAGTTGTCAAACAAATCGATACTTCAAGTGCTCAAATTTTCTAATCTTCTATTCATAAATCTTCCAATTTTCTGTCTAACTCGTTTCCAAAAAAAAAATAGAGACTCATATCAACTTTTAATTTAAACTATCAGAGTTATCTCAAAAATTACAGGAAAAAGAAAGAATATTCGATGCCCCTACTTTTTATCATTAAAAGCTTACTATCAACAAAACTCGCAACACTGTGCTTTTCCAGAAGCGACTGCCGCCAATCTTTCCTACTGTATGTTTCACCTATAGCTAAATGACCAATACAACCTTGTTCAATCTGAAAACACTAATATTCTGAAGCTACAATTTTGGAAGAAAAAAAGCAAAGACAAATTTCAGTAATAATGTCATGTTCCTCAAGAAATGTTTTCACGATTAGATCTGGGTGTTGCTCGTTAGCAGTTAAGTCAAGTAGTAAATTCTTTTCGGAGAAATAATAAGAGAATTAGCGGCGTTGTAATGAGAAATGTTTTCATTATAACCTAACACCCCTAGGTTCAGAAATCATATATGTTGAGCAAGAAAGAAGAAAAAGACTAAATCAACCAGTTACAACCTTTTCTTCCAAATCTAAAAGCATATCAACAAATTCACGATTCCAATCGAACGAAACCAAGTTGTCAGCGAAATCAACGCCACTCAAAAATAAGTCTTTATAGATTTCACCAGATATGATCTAAAATTAAACAAGCTCTACTGTGTACATCCAGAATGTTATATTCCACTTTTTAAGAATCAGCTGGAGCTAGAGATTTTTCTTACTATATTTTGCAGAGCACAAAAAGTTAATAAAATTAGATCGACTAAAATGCTATATGAAGAGTAGGTACCTTTTCTGAGCATCGTGTAAGTATATTTTTTAATAGAGGACTGAAAAATTTCAAATTTTCCAGAAGCTCAGATTCTCTTAAACCTCGACTGTTACAAGATGACTCAATCTGGAAGTTTAACATAATGTATGTGAATAAGAAGAAATAATGTTCTGATATTAAAAAGTGGACACAAGCAGCGAAAAATTTAACTAACTTTTTCCAAAACATCGATACATGTAATTAACTGCCAACGACGATGACCAACTTTTCCATGAACTGGGCACTCATCAGTAGATGTGCATCCTAATAGGGCTTTTCGCACATCGTCATCACTTGAATACGACTGACGAAATTTTTCTTCAACCTGAAATTTAAAATTTATAGAAACTCCAAACATTAGGTATAAAATATAAGTTCACAAGACAAAAAATTACAAAAAACTTGCTTTATCCAGCGGTGTCGGTCCAATGCAAGAACCTCGTTCATCAGATGAATTAGCATCTTCAACTAGAAGCAGAGGAAAGGAATCTAAATACCAAAATGTACGGAAAGCGCGATCTCGACCAAGGCAGAGCCATCCAACTCGACCTAAACTAGACAAACTGGCAAAATATTTAGAAAAAAAGCAAGTTGCACCATAAATTATAGCTTTAACTGGAGAAAATTACGATTTAGAATTTAGTATAAGTATATGACTAAAGTAAAAATGATGGATCATATCAGAAAAAGAGCTATTATACTCTCTACCTTAACTCTCTAACTAAAACCTAACCCATTCATATCTGTTAAACGATAAAAAACTAGCTTTGAATCTTGTAAATCAGCTTCAACAGATCGTCTTCTGCTGCAGTTATGTGTTCCATTTGTAGAGAACGAACTTTTTTAATATCATCAATTTCCATTTGAACGTACGAAACTCCTTTCATAAGTATCTGAAAAAGAAATATTGATAATTTCTACTCATGCTGTTGAAAAATTCAAAGAAGGTGATAGCAGTACAACAATTTAAATTCATAAAAAATATTTGAACATATCCAAATAAGAAAGAACCCGTTCGACATGTTTTAATTTGTCATCTCGCCTTCCTATGAAGCTTCCGCTCTTGACAAAATTAAGTAAAATGACTGTTTCCTTAGAAAGTTCTTCTTTCTTCGCGAAATCTATTCTTGCTGCTTCACCAAGCTCCTCGATTTGTTCCAATTCATACTCCCGAACTAAAGAAGCTTCTCGTGCTTCTTTCTCCTAAAGGAATTGAAATGATCAACTACTTCGAACGTCCAAGTTTTATTTCATTCATGAAAAATACCTTCAAAAATAAGTATTGAAATTTTTTAATACCAATAAACATACTTGGATCGTACTAATCAGACAAATTTAACGTACTTGCACTAAATCGAAACTGCGAAGATTTTTCAATTCTTTACGAGCATCAAGTAATGAACTAATTCGTTCATCACATAGAGAGCGAAATTTGTGATAGCTGAGTAATTGGTGCATCAACATCTTCAACAGTGCTAAACGTTCATGTGGTTGCAAATCGAATACAGATTTCTGGAACGTAATAATCTTAATATAAATAAAAACACTACAATAACATATGGATTTTTGGAAAGGCAGTTTAAACAGACTGTTCCATTGACAACTGTCAAGATGAATCAATGTGTAACGATTGCATACAGAAATTCCCTTTAGTAATGTACTCAGATCATTTCACCAATACAATTTATTAACCTTTTCTAAAATACTCATGATGCGGGGGTTTTCGTTGGCAAACAAAAATCCTTCATCTTCGTAACAACGGATAGCTCCTCTTGAAAATAGTCTAAACCTATGAGTGGGAGCGCCTGTGTAATATCCGGATGTGATTATCGACAGTCTCAGAACTTCCGTTATAGTCATCCAATCGATTGGCAGATGCCGAGCACTCAATCCTAAGAACGGATGATGTGAAAAGTAATCCATAATTTTTTTCAAAATTGCAGTTAACAGCTCAAGACATCATGCAATAAGATTAACGTTCACCATGAGTAAGTCGAACATTTTCGTGAAGAATTGTAGCTTCTCGTATTTTTGAACCGTATAGTTTATGATCTATATCATTCGCATCTGGAGATATTTCATCTCTTCTGTTTAAGTTAACTAAAAAAAACTGAACGCTGTTTTTAAATATAATTATAAAAAGCCACATAGTATCAAAAGTAATTGAGACATTGACCTATACTATCATAAAATTGAGAAGAGAAAAAAATTACTGAAGCAAATTCAGCAAAATCCATCTTACTGATTAGTAAAACTTTTACATAATGATAAATCTGTCAATTGCGTGGAAATTTCCCAAAAATTGATCATATTGCGCCTAATAATCTCTGATTATATTGCTCCTAATAATCTGTTTTAAGGTTTATATTAGAGAAATATCTACCTTCATCTCCATCTTCTTCGTCAGCTCTTTCAGTTTTAGCTTTCAAAAGAATGTGTATTAACTGCACAAACATGCTATCTTGTTCAGGATTGCAACTTCTGATAGCTGAAACGATCTCACAAAACTTGATTTGATGAGTGCCACGTACCTAAAATAATTCCAACAAAAATATCACCAAGCACAGAAAACGATCTTGCAATGTGGTAGCAAACACAAAATGAACCTCTTTCACTGGCAGCAATTCTGAGAAACTTTGAAAGAATTCGAAAATACATAAATATTGTCCAAAATCATCATCAGACATCCAAGCTGGAAGCAGAAAAGGCTCCAGATCAGGCAAAGGCTAAAAAATATGCACAAACTAGATAACATTGACGAAATGCCTATTTTATGGATAAATAAATAGAAATATAATCGTAGTTTACACAGTAATAATCGAATACAATTGAATACTGCGGTTATCTACATAAAACACAAGATTTTATTCTGACTATTCTATCTCATGACACTTATTTTTGTTTGCCTCATCAAATTTGAATGATGCGTAACCTTAAGGCTAAAATCTAATAATAAATTTACTCGAAGGTCATCACAGAGAACATCATCTCTTGGTTTTTTCCATTCCGATAATATTTCTTTCATTCGTTGCTTTCTTAGACGTATTTCTTTCCGTTCCTCAAAAAAGCATTACATAAAACTTGGTTGATGCACCAAATTTGAAATTATTTGATCTTCCAAACATTATAAGTCGAAATAAAAGCAAAAATGAAATCAAGCTTTAAACTCAATTCAACCTTTTCCTTAGTTTGGCGTATTAACTGCTTCAGAGCGACTATTTCTGCTTCCGATAATAAATGATCATTTTGTTCCCAGCGTGAAAGATTTTCAATATTCATCTTTCGTGCTTGCTCAAAGAGACCTTCCAACTCCTCTTGCTGTTCTAGAATCTAAAAAATTTTTTTGAATAAATCAAAAAGCATAAGAACAAGACTTGAACAAAAGAATGAACGAAATTATACCACTTTTTTTTTGCTTGCTTTCCCGTGTTTCTGTTTTTTCTTTGTGGTACGTTCACCAGTATTGTCCTTTTTATCTTTGTTTACAAACTTCGTTTCCTCAAGTACTTGGTCCCTTTGAATACCGTGGACGCAGTCAACATCTGATGTTGACGGTATATTTACGTCACTAGCACACGTGCCATCTTGAAAAAAAAAAACTTTAATACCTTGCTCTTATACATAGCAAAATCTGAACAATTATATGGATACAAAATATCTTATTATACTTCACTAAAACTCATTACTTATATAGCTGCGAGAGTGATGAACCCTTCTAACTGTTCCACGACTCACTAAAGGTGTTTGCGGAAACTGAGCAACAGGTCCATTGAACACTTCTTCCCATGTCATATTTTCTAGATCAAATCTTTGGACTAATTCTTCCTGAGAACTCAACGCTATTAGTGAAATTAATCTCATTATTTTCAAAAAAAAGAAAAAAAACTCGTTTTTTTCACACTCATATGATGCATAAACAATTTAAAAGCAACATTTTTCAACAACTACCTTCTTCTTTACCAATTAACACTAAATAACAGTTAATTCTGTTTCTATATAAATCTTATCAATCTGACCCCATCTTAAAAGTCACTTATTTTTGACAAAATGTATTTGAAAATTACATTAGTTGTGATAATAAAATTAAATTAAAAAACTCTACACAACGCATTACAAAAATATAGCTTAATATATCCGAATGAAAAATTCGAATTATAAAGACCGAAAAATTTTACCTTTACAACTAATCTTTCGTGATTTGTCACACAAGAACTCTTCAAAATTAAACGTAAAATATTTCGAGCCCATAACGACTTGCTACGACTGAAAAATGCTTTGTCAAACACAACCAATTTAGCATATGTCACTTTTGATTTCTAAAGTCTTTTGACTAAGTACATTTTAGCGCCAAAAATGGAGAGTTTAAAAAATATGCTGTGCATCTAAATATTAATCTAAACACTGAAAATTAAAAAAAGATTACGTCAAATTATAATGCTTGATCTGATTTCGTAATTCATAAATGATGCTCTTATTCTCTGGGTTCAGCACCATGACATCATAAGTATAATGCTCAGCAGATGGTATAAGCAGTTCTCCTTTTTTTACGCTTCAAAAGTTGACATCATCAAAAAAGCGAAATGAGTTGAAAAAAACAAAGATCATATCCTTTCACTCGAAAAATTTTACCATCATGTTTGCCAAACAAATCATCGAAACTTACGAAGTATCCGTCTTTTCTGAATTATTATTTGGCTTCTTGAGAGTATCATTTAGGACTTCAGCATAAGTCACTTTCCATATTTTAACGTCTTTCCGACTACGTCCACACCCTAGTGTTACTTCTTCACCAATTAAATAATGATCCTTGACAAAATAATAGATGTCGTTGACTAAATCCTCCATTCGACCACGACAAGACAATTTGTGGACAAGATAAAGTAGAGGCTTCGCAAATGAAGAAGGATATGTTTTTAAGGTATCCTAAACTGTTGGTAATTTACTTGACAGAAAGTGATTTTGGCCACGCAATACAATATTTTAATACTGAAATGATGTTTTGAGAAATGAAACTCTCTACTATTATAAAAAAATTAAATAATATAAGTTTTTGTGATTTTTAAAACTGTCATTTAACTTGAAAAAAAATCGAACTGTTCTTTTATAGTCAATTATTATTTTTATACGCCAATGAATTTATCCTATAAAATCACGACATATTTTTTACTTTAGCACTTTTCTCCGATTCAAGAGCCTCTTCAAATGTCAAACCCGTTTTCCCAGTTACTGAACATGTCCAGATCATCGAACTGAGAGATATTTGTCGCAGAAAGAAGTTTCTAAAAATAATTCTGAAAGACGATCACAAAATAATTTATTCGATAACTGAAATGTTTGATAAGTAACCATAATTTATAGATTAACACCTCTAGGACTTATGATCTTTGATGAAGGGTGAGACACTATTCTGAGTCTGAATACAAGGTAAAGAGGAAAATATAAGTTAGGAAGATTATGAGATCTAAAATGGAAATTGAAATTATTTATGACGAAAGTAATAGCAATAAAATATGATATGACAATGTTACGATGTTATAAACAGCACTTGACATGGTAAACTTACTCATATGATGTAAATACTTCATTAGTGAGTGGAAGATAAAAAACTTTGTCATTAGGTTTCAGATCATGTGGACAAGGAGACGGCTTGAAACGTTTCTGACCTAAGGACGGCATCTAATCAATAGCCTGAGAAAAAAATTTTCACTGAAGACAACAGGAATTATTTCTCGTGTTCCATCTGCTGAATAAAGTGATGAATACATTACAGTTATCACATCAAAATAACAAAGTAAGTTTGATTAGCATTTCTATATTCTGATATTGTTAACTATGTAATCACGTTTTAGACATAAAATTATATATTGTTCATATCCAGAATCTTATTGAAATTTTACAATTTTTACGTTAAACAGTATGAAAAACCAAGCACAGCATAATTATTCAGGATGGTCAACATTTCTGTATAATTTAGATATCGCGGTTAAAATGATAATGATGGACTTAATTTCAGTTAATATAATTTATTCTGAGATTATTTATAGCAAAAACAACCGACTTGTAGCAGTCATAACGTAAAGGTACCGCTTCATGTCAAAACGTACTCCCACTTTATGACTCCTACCAACTAGTGTCAAGTTTTATCGATTTTCCTCATTCTGTTTTCCAATATCATTATTACTCAGATATGAACTGCGAACATCATATTTGAAAGCAGAATGAAGAAAAAACTGTTGTAGGAAAAAATTATAACAATTATTTCGCAATTTCTGAATGAAAGGAATATGTGAAAATCGTATTTTATACTCTTAAATTGATATGGTAAAGATTCAATTTTTTAGATATAGAATACTAAAAGAAAATCGTCCGTATAGCAACAGATCAGGGTGACTCCAAGTGTGAAAAACAAGAAAAAATGAAAGTGTGAAAAAAGAGGAAAAAGAAATTTCAATAACTGCAGAAATGCGCCAGCAAATTACCAAATAAACAAAATACGGATAAGATTTACGCGCAATTATATCCGATCAACAAGGAAGCACATAAGAGCTAACGTACATGAGAATGTTGGAGAAACGAAGACGAATACGCCGAATTAGTTCAAAAGTAAACAACAAAATGAAAAAATTTATACTGACTGACTTGTAAATATGTGAAACAGTGATATGGAATGAATGCAATTAGTTAAACACAAATAAAGGCAGCGTAAAAGTTCCCTTGACTTCATATTAACAAATTGCTCCTTCCTATGTGCTTCACCTAATCGTTCTTTCTAATTCACGAATTATGCTTTGTTTTCAAAGTACCTAGTTTAATTTAGAACTGACTGTATTTAACAACTCATCCCATAACACAAACTACGCCTTACAAAGAAAATAAATTAGACTACGGAATATTTAACCACTCGATATTGCAAAACAATTTAATTGCATTCCGCTATTCTCAACTTTCCTGTCTCATGCACTATCTTTACTTCTTTTAACATCTGCTTCATCCTAAAATTCCTTATCTTTTCCTTCAACTTTTTTCCTAATTGCTGGCCGTATGGAAGTTATGTTATGTATTGTTAAGGCACTTGTGGGTACAGAAATGAAATATTCCAAAGTTCCGTCAACGTGGAGGTCTTCTCTCGACGTATGCGTTACAAACCGTTGCGTGTATAGTGTTTTGATTGTGTAGTTGTGCAAGTTGGAGTCTGTTTTTCTCTCCTTGTTAAATGTGTGTATGCTAATATTACTGACCATGTTTTTTTTCTTTCACTTAAATTGTTTTATATTTGATTATTAGTTGTACACGCGCAGAAACCGTTCTTCTGTTTCGTTTATGTTACTTATAATTCTGCATTCGTGAACTTGTTGTTTATACTGTATATTATGTGGCAATTTTTGTTTGATCATTTTTAACAGCTGCAACAAAATTAGTGAACTTGGAGGTATCCTGTTCTTGCTGCATTTTTACAAAATTTTAAAACACTTAGAACTACAGTTGTACTTTTATATTTTATTGTATTATTTGTGGTAAATTTACGAAAAAATTAATCTTTTTCCGTTGACAGTTAGTTTTGTTATTTTCATTTCTGGTGGAACTGTTATACCCGTGAGCATTAACGTGACTGGCTTGGGTGCTTTCACTGCTACATTAATTTCTCCATGTACCTGTATTGTACATTTATATTGACCAAGCAAGACTCTGTTATAACTCATTTATGCACATTTTAGCTGTGTAAAATAAAAGCTACATCTTAATAGAAAAACTTCACTCTTTATTTCTGTAGAGAAATGGTAATATTTTTGATTACAGGAGAGATGGGGAGATCAAGAATAATTTTATCCGATCTTTTTTCCATTGCTGTAGTTATTTTTGAGGTAGCGAATGACAAGTAAGCCGAAATGTGGTGGTTCATGTGTTTTAAATTTTAATTGATAATTTCAAGAGAATTTTATAGATAAAAGTACATTTTTGTAATTGCAGAGATTAAATAAAATTTTGATGATATTTAACTGAGAATAAAAGCATGTATTTAGTGTTATTTTAAGTAGAATTCACTTCTTCTAAGTAACATAGTTTTAAGTAGAATTTAAGTCTTCGAAGTAGTCTCTCTAACATTAATAAATGATAGAATAGGCGAAATTAATTTTTTGTTATATATGCGTTAGATTTTATCGTAAGAATTAAATTCACATAGTTACCTTTGTAAGAGTACTAGAATTACTTCTTTCTGTTATTTGTGACTTTGTTATTTGGATGTGTTGTTCGTTTTTGTTGTTACAGCGCTGATGATTATCGGTTTGATTTTTTTCTTCTTTAACGAATCAGTAACATATTTTTAAATAAGGTAAACTTTTACAGTGATATGAATTTTTGGTTATTTCAAATAGTGCTACGTAAAAAAAAATTTTTAATTAATTGGCGAAGATTGTGCTTTATTTCATTTAAATGTAGAACCAAGTGAAGCTATCTAAAAGTTACTATTTAAGTGGTCTGATAAGTCAATATCTTGTTTTAAAATCACTGCCTTCGGCGTTCTCGATGAAACTATTGCTTGTATCGTCGAAAGCCTTCAATTCAAATCATTAACTCTATTTTAAGATCTAATCAACTATGTTTTTCCCAATTATTATGCTATTTCATAAACATTCTCGGTATTAATGTGCGGTACCACGAGAGTAGCTCAGCATTCATAATCAGATGATGATAGTGGTCTAATGTTGTGAAGTTGTTGCATACAGTCCATAACGCATAGTCTTGACTCTAATTTCAGGATGTTGATTGATAATAAGAATGAATTGCTGTATTTTGGTAGAACTAATTAGCGGCACAAAATTAATTTACTTTTTTAACTAAGTTGCTAACCAGGATTGTTTGGAATTTCTGGTGGTTTCAGTTTGTCTCTTATCATCCGGAAACCAGTTTTGTTTAATCTTTTTATTATCCTGCGATCTCGTGCATTTTTCTAAAGATATTTGGATGATTCGAGGGGTTAGGTTAAATTCTCTCCTCCACATTTTTTTATAACCTTTCGTTATAACAAACATAAATTTTAATTCATGATTAAATTCAAACCTGGGAAAATGTTATGCACAATTTTGTTGCCATTTCGCGGTTGTTTTCGTAGAAAAATAAGCATTTCTTCAACTGCTTGCAGACTGCGGTCTATCTGTTATCAACATTGATATTCATTCAAGAATTTGAAGAATTAATTTTTTTGTCAAAGAAATGTAAAAAATTATGATAATTGAAATATGGTGCTAATGTGCTGAACTTGCAGTCATTGCATATTCATGTCCTAATACAGTTTCAATAAAATACACAAGAACAACGGCAAGGTTTATAGATGCAGTTTTAAAACTTTATGAAACTAACAAGTAAGTTAGATGCTTCGAAAGTAGACATGACATCTGTTGGTTGGAAACCTTTTTGATTACTCCCTATTCGATCAATGAATCCTGAACGTCTACTGTCGGATCCTTCACTATCTGGAGTTTTCAAAAAGTCTCTGTGCTCATACCATGAAGCAGCAGTTGGGCTTGACCAACACTGCAATTTTGCCGAATTTCCAATTAAGGCTTGAAATTTATTTCTGTAAGCTGTTTCAGTGAATAAAAAGCTCATGCAAATCGTATACATGATTTTATGAAGTGCTCAGTTAGGAAATTTTGGAAGTATTAATTAATTAATGAAGTTGAGTTTGAATTATGCACATTCAAGTTCAGGATCAGTAAGGATTTAAACGAGATGAAGGTGAGTGAAATAAATACCTCTAATGAGCTTGATAGGGGAGTAGAAGAACAAGATGTGTTTAAAGATATTGATCCCGAGTTGCAGGTCATTTCCCAAATGGACTAGTATTGAAAGAAGCCACCGTTCATCAGTATCACAGTATAGAATACTATTTGTTTTTCAACTGATGCGTTTTATTTATTGTCTCGACAACAATTTATCTCATAATAAGCGTGGATGTTTGCTTCAAGAAAATATCACTCTTTCCTTCTGCATTGTCAAATCGCAAATCTTATTGTTTTTCTCTCTTGCGTGCATTTTATCATTTTCCTCCAACATTAAAAGATGAATACAAGGCTTTGTCTTCTTTTCGCTATAGAATGAAAACTTCGTGGTTGCAAATTTTGAAAAAGAACTTTTTGGAACTGAAATGATATACATTAACTATAAAATGGCTCATATATTTGAAGTCACAAGGGAATGACAATAATTTATGCATATCGAAATGAATATAAATCAGTTTCTGCTTTCAAAGAAAGAATACAAATATTAGTTAAGTTCTGGTTCATTCGGAGTTACGTTGGTGGTGACTAACAGAAATAATGATGCTGTTACATTTCTCAACTGAACTGTTCTGCATGCTCGTAATTTTCATCATTCTTTCTTTAATCAAATTGAAGTTTGAAAGTGTATTGTTTCCAATGCAAACAAATAATGCTTTGTTTTTGGTCAGTCTAAAAATTCCAAATTGTTGCAATAGCGCAGCCACTTTTTGATCAAGGCTTTTTAGTTCAATATTTAAAATCGAAAGTTAACTACCATATCTGTGAATACTTTTGCACTATTTTTTATAAAACAAAAAAATACAGATCTCTTTTTTCATTAAAAGATAATTAATGATCTTTTCATCAGACGATCTCAACTTATCTATTATAATACGTTCAGTAATATACAATTTGGCTCAGGCTTTCAAAGTCGTTTTTTGAACTGGTACATATATAATTACGAATTATCATATAGTTTATTTGATTTAGACAATCACTGCATAATGGATGACAAGAATATGAAACAAGAAGTGGAAAGTTGTGATTCGTCTGTTTTCAATGAAGAAGAAAATTCAGTTGTTGGATGTAGCAAACATACACAAAAAGACGATGAAGAATCTTCACAAGCTGCTTCTTTAGAATGCGAAGTAAGTAAAATTCTCTGCTGACATATTAGACATCAAGAAACCATTTTTCTCTCTGATGGATAGATGATGATCATCATAGCTCGAATGTTTTAAATTACATTGTGGTTGTGTCGATGCACTCAGAGTTTCTGTTTTCTTTCGTTAAAACTGCTCAACTCACTAACTTGAAATCGAAGTTGAACATTTACAGAGTAATTGAGATGTTTCTATTCCCTAATACCGGAAAATCTGTAGAGAATCTGTGTATAAAGAAAAATAATGCAATAATAAAATAAATGAAACATTGCTGTTATTGATATTTGTCTGCATTACCAGAAAAAATTGAATGAAGCCGTTGTTATCAAAGCTCGTCAGCGATGGAAGTTACTTTCTTCACATTTACGGTGCTCTCATAATCAAAAAGACACTGCTTCAAATGATGTCGAAGCTATGTTTGTTATTTTTGATGCATTCCTCATCTCGAAATCTTCCACTTTAGGTCATTGGTATCACTTAAAATCGCCTGTTGGTAGTGTTGAGCTTATTGTTCATATTTATTCAGTGAATAACATAACATCCGACATCTTAGTTGGTTTCAATAACACAGGTAATATTAGGATATGGCCATCAGAGGAATATTTAGCCTATTATTTGCTTAAAAATATGCATATAGTTCGAAAAAAAAGTATCTTAGAACTTGGATCAGGTATGGTTGGTTTAAGTGGTCTCATATCGGCTTTGCTTGGTGCTATAGAAGTGACTTTAACTGATGGAAACGAAAAATGTGTTGCAAACATGCAGAAAATTATTGAAGCGAACAAGTTGAATGATCGTATAGCTTGTTTGATATTAACTTGGGAATGCCATGTTCCAAACAAGCAGTTTGACATTGTGTTATGTGCTGATTGTTTGTTTTTTACGGAACAACATCAAGTGTTATTGAATAGTATATATGGACATCTCAAACCTGGCGGTACTGCTTATATAATGGCACCAGATCGTGATGGTACATTCCAAATATTTTTAAATCGTATTTATCAAGAACGATATCGGTGGCGTAATATTACCATTCATCTGTGTATTGATACTGGAAATGAAATTTGTTTAAGATTTCGAATGCTAAATAATAAGCAGTCAGAAATTCCAATGCTTTTAATTTTAACTAGAACACATAGTTTTCCATAAATTGTGCAAGGGAAAAGAAATCATCTCACCTCGTTGTGATGTATATAGTTCTTGCTTACCAGCAGCAGCAAGAGTGCAATGAGATAATGACATCAGGAAATAGGCCAAGAAACAGGCTCTTTTATTTTACCTTCAAAAAAGTATAATTTGTATTTTGTGATTGTGTAACATTGTCGCATTATTATCGATCAATGTGCAATAAAATATGAATAGTTTCAATTATGCCTTATATTTACTTCTATTTTAATTTTAAATTTTTTTAAGTAAGCTCTTATTCGCTACTGATTGTCTGATATTCACTTTAGCGAAAATATTTCTTCATATATTTTTTCTTATTTATGCCCGTTATTGGTAATGTCATAATTAGGATCGGAAGCAGTTTGTTGGATATGTCTCTATAATATTCAGTGGACTTGTATATGCTTTTGAATAAATATTTTAAATATGTAGTGCAAAGTTTTTTGAACGAACCACTTATTGTAACAAAAATAGATATTTTTAAGCTTTTTTCAGTATCAAAAACTCGTTGATTCAATGCACTATTCCTGTTTGCGACTACAGGAAGAAGTAGTGGAAGAATTATTCAGAAGAGGTCAGAAGTCAGAATTTGCAGAGGAAGTCGTTGCGCAAGTTGCTTATACTATGGTCGACACTCTTAGTAGGACATGGCCTAGTGATCTGTTGCAGTATGCCAAGTAAAGGTTCTTCCAGAGAAATCTGCTAAATTCTTTTCACTGTTGTAAAGGATAGAAGTTTTAAAAGCGTTTGAGACATAAAACTAGGTTTTAATCGTTTTAGGCATGCAAAACGTTCCGTCGTTAATGTTTCAGATTTGAAACTTCATTTCCGGCGAAATGAATGCGTAGTAAGTTTTCTTTCTTAGTGCTTCTAATTTATTGTCTTTCAACTTTTATTTATTCCCTTGTATTGTGTTTAGTCTCATTGATAGTGCAACCTATATAATTTCAGCTTTCGCTGATTGATCAGATTGTCGAAAGTTCTCCCTTTCCGGTTAAGCTGAGACAGCCTTGGAACACTACAGAGAAGACGAATTTAAAATCTATGAATCACATTGAAACTAATGAGGATGTAAAAGAAACTAAAAATTTGCAATCAGGAAATAAAAATGCGCCAAAACTGACAGATTTCTGGGATCAGTAAGCTACTATTAACGAGTAGATTTAAATTCCTCCAGTCTTCTATAGCGTGATCTTTCGTTCTTACAAGTTAAAACTAGGTTTTAGGGATTTATTTTTCTCGTCTCTTTTATTTGGTCTGTATAGAATCTGTAAACCATTTATCATGCAAGTTTATGATGTAATTGTGTGAAATCATTTCAGAATTCTTGTCTTTTTATAAGTCAGCCTTGACTTAAATCATTTTGCAGAGAATGATTTTCTTTTCTGTTTTAGACCTTCTGCTAATCAGAGAGGGTCGTCATCATCTGCGACATCCTTCAAGTGCGCTTCAGAGCTTTTGGTCAAAGAATCGACTAATAACTTAACGTGGGATGAAAAGAAGATTACTAGTGACAAAGATGAAACTATATTTTGTGAAACAACTGGAGTTGGAAAATCGGTACGGAAAAGGAAAGCTGAATGTAAGATAAAACAAAAGAAGATAAGCCAGGAAAAGGAACTGGAAGTTAGAAGTCTTTCTAAATCGGTAGAAAAGGAAGATCTAAAAGTCACTGATGTTGATGGTTTTAGGTCATCATATTTGTTGGCACAAGGATGTAGAAAAAGATATTTGATTAATACTAATAGTTCCTTGATTGAATCTAATCGGGATATAAGTGATACTGGTCCATTAAATCCATTAAATACGGAAATAAAGGATATGTCACGAAAGGAGTCAAGCAATATTATATCTCTGGGCTCATCCACATTATTTGATATTTCTAATTATAGACGAAAAAATAATAGAAGTAGTGTGAAGGAATTTGATCAGAGGGAAGGAATAAGTGATTCATTAAAGCACACATTAGGAACGGAACCGGTGGATATACCAGTAATGGGAAGAGAACCATCATTTATGTCATCGGGAAATGAATTCTGCGTTGCAGACGAATGTAAGTTTTTGAAGGCTTTGGAAAACTTTGCATAATTTTTCATAGTTGACTCAAAAATTATCAAATGATGGAGGCAACCAAGACAAGAGAAAGTTATTTTTTATCTTCTTTATTGTTTGTAGTATGCTATATCTAAAATAAATGCGCTCAAGTTGTCTTCATTTCAAGAGCTTAAAAATGAATGTAATAAGAATGATCTTTCCTAAAACATTTTTTCTCTGAATGCATTCGTTCACCGTGAATTCGTTTCAGGCATTATTTATAAATTTACTTTCCTTTTTTTCATTATGTATTTCTAATACTTTTCTTTGAAAAGATGGTGTTGTTCACAATATTCATATTCAAGTCTTTTTTTTCAGTGTTTTCAGCCTTTAAATTTGATTCAGATGAAGAAACAAATTCGAAGGGAAAAAATGACGGTAGCGTAGATTCTTGTTATTTTTCGTTTTACTTTTTATGTTATTTGGCCAAATTTTGAAAAATACGCCTGGATGTTGTTTTATGATTAATCAGAGCTGAAAATAAAACGCAGATATAAATTTAAGTAATATGCCTTCTTTTGATTATTGTGAAAAACTATGAGCTAATGTCTCTATCTTTATTTCAGTTACGAATAATAAAACATTTACAGTATTTTTGCCTTCGAGCGATTCAAAAATGTAAGTTTTGAGTTTATTCCTTGTTAGTAATATAACTAAGTGTTGCTCAAGCATTGTGGTTTAGATACTTTCCTTTTAATAGAACAAATTTTGTTAGTTTTTCAGTGATGTGAGTGCATCATTTTGCGGTACTGATGAACTGCAGGGGAATAGCGAAGCTAACAATAATCATACCGATCTCAATGCAAGAATATTTGATTTTTAGTTATTCTCTATCACAAAGTTTTCAAATAATTTTGACTAAATTCAAATTAACGCGTTTTTCTGCTGTAATTGCCCGTCACAAAAGTCATTCAATGCAACATTCAGTGCTTAGAAGTAAACTGTTTTGTACACCTTTTAATCAATAATTTATGAGCCAAGAAGTTAACCCGATGGTCTAAAAAATAAAGCCAGTTGAACTTTTTTTACTCTCAAAATTGATAAATAAAAGATTTGGAAACATTAATTACGGGCTTTCAAATTATTTCAGTTGATTTCTGCGTCTATTGAAAAAAAGCTTACTCTGATCACATTTAATGGTTTCATTTATACTGCTATATGACATCTGTTTGTTATAAGATCAAAACACAAGTTTGGTAGAAATGTGACTAACAGAGTATTGGAGATATCTTAAAATAATATATGGTTCGCAAATTTATAATTTCTCGGTTCTCTTCATCAAAATTAGAGGATTTAGGTGCTTGCCATTTCGAAACTTATGTATTCCCGCAAATTAAAAACGATGTTATCTCCTTTTTTATTTGCTTCAGCTTGATAAAAATTCGGAGATAGACATTCATATGATAAAGAATAGCTAAGTCATAATTTTGATAGTGAGTCTAGATCTAGAATAATCAGAGTACTCGTAAGTTTGAGTACTTTTAGTAAAGTCTTTAGGAATAGCGTGTATGTCCATGGTAAGTTGAATTTGGAGGTGTTGATAAGGTGGAGTCAGTGCCTATTTGATTTGCTGCATTTAGTGCTTCACGCATTTCTGTAAACATGTTTGGAGTCAGTGTGATGTTATAATTAGGATCTGATTCTAGTTGGTCTACTGAGGTAAAATTATTTGTCGTGAATTCCGAGAACGGTAATTCCACTTCATGATCTGGAGTCGTTCGGTACTGCGGTTCATGTGATGGTGGTATTGATACAATTTGACTTGTATCTTCGTAAAGTGCACTGAAATTGTGAGTCAGGTTTGATATTTATGTAAATTAATGAAATGATCATTAATCATGCTATGGTGATATAAAATAAGTAAGCTAACTCCATATTCGAGGTTTCATAATTTTTGTCTTGGTTTTTTATTCAAACATTTGGAAACTGACGTGCTGATATTGATTTATTTAAGACTAGATCCATTTTACATTAAATTTCAGTCCTGTTATTTTCTCATAGAAGTGTGAATTCTTGTACTTTAACTGCTCTAATGATGCTGCTAGCAGTAGTACTTTTCATAGTTCTGTTACAGTTGTTTTAAGTTCCTTTACTTTTTTTATCGTTTTGTTGTAGTTTTAATAATTCGGAAATTATTGTATTATAAAGAATTTGAAGAAAAAGTTTTGACGTCTCACCCATATGAAGTAAAGCTTTGATTGCAGTCTTCGGAGTAATCGCTAGTTGTCTCAAATTCACTCATCGATGTGCTTGTTTGACTAATCAATGATGATACGGATAAATTTGAATAACTGGGAACCATGAATCCGTCCCATCCATCTATACTGCTTTCCAAACTTGGGGTAGCAGATAGCGCTATGTGATTACGTCGTATAATTCCATCATCCATTAATAAATCATATAGGATGGGATCCGTATGCGAAGAGGTACTTTGTTGAAGAGTTCGTAAATTTTCTTCCATTTTAAGACCAAAAATCTGGGATTACAAAATCTAGAGAAAATCTTTTTAATCACTGAATTAAAATTTCAAGTTATCGGTAAAAAATACAAAGCAGACTGCGGTTATTTTCAAAAGTGAGAAGTGAATGATGTATTATGTTTTCGTTACATCGGGAATTCTAAATCCGATGACCAGAATGAAATATTCGATATCTCCTGATTAATGAAGTCACGCATGTTCTTTGAATAAGGCATATAAGGTATATGCCTATACTTGAAATGTTATAACCATGAAAATTTTTGGAAATTACACAAGTTTTGAACTAAACTATATGTATTACAATAATTATCGCCGTCTTTAGATTTTTTTTATTAAGTAGTGGATGTTATCTGTTTTTACTGTAAACTTCTACCGCTACAGAAGAAAAGTGTAGTAATAAATTTCCAAATCTGGAAGATGGTGCCACTGATGGATGAATTTCACGTATCACTTGATATAGGGTTTCCTGAACTCGATCACGCAGACTGCGGATTTGTGCAGCAGCAAAACATGAAAGACTCTTGAGTTCTACAAGCATTTTTGTCATTAATTAGAACCACTCAACTTTACAGATTTTAAATGATTATTCAGAATGAAAGTGCTACAAGAAAAATGAATTGCAGACATTTTAATTTTGGAGAAATAACGTTTACGCGGCTACGTACGGTATAACACGAACGAGGGTTTAGTACGATAATAGCCTTCATTAGCGTTATTTCTTCATTCTTGAGTTTCAGAACACGTAGTGGTACGACTAATTCGTCAATGATTTGATCAACAAGTCCATTTGATAAGTAACTGGAAATTAAATTTAATTAATCTTCCTTTAAAATTTAACATACATAACTTGTCATGATTATACGTTTATTAAAATAAATTTGCTTTTCGAAGTCTTATCTTTCACATCATCAAGCTTTTGCCTTTACTAATTTACAATATGGAATTTAATGGTCTCTACAGACAAGTTTCAAACTGGTGCCTTGTTTGAGAAGTGAAGCAAATTTTATTTCAGCAGGTTTTTACAAAGAATAAATTCTTTTTTTAATGTGGAGAACTTATATGATCATAATTTCGTTTCGTGAAGTCGTACAAAAATCATATATCAAATATTAATCAACTGAATTTATTAGGTATGCAGACATAAGCATCACATAAATCTATATGATAGTTGGAATTCACTACTTACTGCATATCGCCATATATGTGTTGTGCATTGCGTGGCATATAACCTAGTCTGGAAAGACAAAGTATTTCTTTATCATCGGTAGCATTTGCAGTACCAGCTGCTGTACTGAATATCATCAATGGCGCAAAACCGTGACGTGTAAGCAAAAACTATATGAATTATCCGTCATAAAATTTTGTAAACTAGCATTTTTGATCTTTTGAAATAAGGAAATAAATTTTTCTTTCTGAAAAATTTGAAGGGTGAAAATGAAAACTCGGAAAATTTTATCGCTGAAATCTTGAAATCCCTCACTTTTGAAAAATAACAGCTAACAAAATAAGCAGTTGAATGAATAATTAGAGTTTATAATGACTATGTTCTGGATCTCAATAACTTGCGTGATTGACGTGCATCCATCAAAAAATAAGAATAAAGACTTATTTGAAGAAAAAGAAATTTAGTGATCTTTTTTATTTGCACCAAATATTTTGATATCAATGAAATGAGTTTTTTCATTTCAGACCACTACAATAATGTTTTAATTTCTATTTTCTATATTTACTCTATACATTCAAGAAAAGTTTAAAATTACTAAAATATTACCTTGTCATGCAGTGAAATTCGTCCCATCCAATCACACAACTGATGAATCCAGTCTATCACAGCCAAAACATTGCGGTGCACAATTGCCACCAAGTCATCTTTTCCCACTCTTCGATATGGTTCATAACCAATCTGAGCAAAATGTTAGCTGATTGATTTCAAGAACATTCAATTTCTAAAAACAATCTACGACTTGTTAAAATTTTAGGATAAATTTTGAGTTACATTTTCTATTTTTAGTGATTTCAGGATATCAATTATTGTTACTTTATGAAAACTTTCTTCACTCAGTTTAAAGTTTTCAATTGTTTTTCAGTTATTCACCTCAGTTTTTCGTCCATTAAGAAGAGTGGCATCACTAAGGAAATCTTCAAGAGATCCACACTGAAGTGGATAGATTTCGGTAGCATTTAACAGTGCTTTACCAGAAGATGCCTGGAGGAAAAAGTCTTGGCATTTGTCACTTTCCTCAGAAGCAACACGATAACCAAATGGTTAGTACAGAATTGGGTGTAACAAAATTAATTTTAAGCATCTTACAATAATTTCTACATTCATTAAACGCATTAGCACTGTTCGCATATCGACTGGTAATCGCCAAATCCATTCTTCACCGATTTCAGCCTCCTCGACCACTTGATTACCAGTACTGCCGAGTTTACGTGTGCGACATACATGATGACGCCCTGTGGTGTCACGATCAGGTCGAACTGCTTAATAAAATGTTTTATATATGGTAACACAATATTTCATAAAATGCTTTTTTATCGTGAAAAATGAGTGATTGTTAACATTAATCACAAGAATCGGTGTTATTAGTGATAAAAATAATTGGACGTAGGACAATCTTCTCATCATAATATTTGGTGAAATTAGTACTGTAAAAATAATAGTCTTAGAAATGACAATTCATGATCATCTCTACTGAATCTGTTAAGTTGTAAATAAAGATCAGTTTTTGATTTTGAATTCACAATGCATCTCTAAAATTATTGTTTAAAAGAAATGAATCGAATATCTGAAAATGCTAGATTGATTGACCTCTAGGATCCATGCCAACTTCTAAGCATCTTTTAAATCGACAGAAACGACAAGAATTGCGTTCATCTGAAGTTTCAATTACAGTCATTATATACGATATCAGTTAGTCACAATATAGATCAAAACTTCTCTCTGGAAGTTATCTGATCATTTTTAAGGCACCCGATTCTTATAACATATTATTATTAACAGTCTTTTCTGTTTGTTATTAATTTAGGCTGTTATTACAGCTGTTAATCTAACTTTTGATTTGAGAATGAGGTCAATTTTGGAGCTTGATAACGCGACTAAAGACACTGAACATTTTCGACTTTAATTCATCAGAATAATTTCATCAGGTATCAAAATTAAACACTCTTGTAGATAAAATAATGACAATAAACTGGACGACAAGTTAATCCTTTTCCAGAAATATGCTAATTTATTTTGATGAGAATGATTACTACAGATAGAAAGTTGTAATATCCTCTTCGACTGCACGAAAACTTTTTCAAAAAAATTTCATTTCATTAACAAAACTAACATTTATCAACAGGGCAAGTGCCATTTTGTCGACATGTATATTGAGTAGATCTTTTTAAGCTGAAAATCTTTGCTCATTCAGAATGCTTTATTTTTCAAATTCAAGAAAAGAAAAAAAGAGTAACCCATTTATTATAGATAAGTTACTAGCTGAATACAAAAAGTTCTGTTCGGATTTTTAATAACATTTAAGTAATTATATGCGCAACTCTCGACACTAGGTATTGTTGCCATTATTAACTCGTATTAATTATAGAATCTTTGTGAAAGTTTTTTTCCGTATAATTTTTATGAGTTCCATCATTGGATATCATTCTATATCCTGTCTAAGCACTGTTTTTTCAACAAGCTTTGATGACACAATGTGTTCATACTCATTACTTTTTCAAAAATTTTTATACTACTTTTACATATCACTAAAAAGATGCTTACCACTTTTAAGACTTAAATTTTTATAAACTTAATTCTGAAATGTTCTTACGCATCAGAAGCGAAAAATAAGACAATTTTGCACATTTGAAAAGTAGAACAAAGTTAGCATTATTGAATATTCCCACTAAAAAGAGTGTTTTGAAAAATGAGGCATATAACAACTAAGTCCGCGTCATTTTACTGTCTAAATCTTAGATTTTAATGATTTACAATTTCTAAATTTCATTCGTTCATAAACTTGAATAACACTGAAAATAAAGTTGAAACAAATTAATTGGAACTGCTATCAAATTTTAAGAAAAATAAGAAAGCCTTACGTTCGTCGGAAAAAACCTTTACAACCAAAACAGGTTAATGCACCATAATGCATACGTGCATGACGATCATTGCAAACTAAGCATCGATCTCCAATTACTTTTGGTTCTGATAATTTGATCAATAGACAAAGTGAATAGACACGAGTGGAATATTAGTATATTAAGTATCAGAAATTATGATTATAAATTTATCGGAGTTTGATAATTTGCAAATGTGTCCCTCAGGAAAGGCAATTTCTGACAACGATGTAAATAAATATTGCTTAATTGTGCACAAGTAGTTTGGCTTTCACAAAAAAAAAAGATTTTAACAGTCAGTATGACGTATCTGTTCAAATATTTCCATTTTAACTTGACTTATTTTAAAATGTTTGCAAAATTTTATGCTATTTCGATCGAAATTATATCAATCCATTCAATTTATCTTTTTTTACAGTCATTTCTGAGTGATTAATCGAGTGTCATACCATTAGGTTTCACCGAAAAGCCACTGGTTAAAAAATCATGTGGAGTCAGTACTGTGGAAAGTGAGTCCTTGAATGCATCCATGAGAACTGAAAGACTGGAACCCAGCTTTGATAAAAACTTGATTTACTTTTGTTAGTCAAATGTAACCGCAATAAATTACAATGAATAATAAACTATTCATTGTTAATAAATTATTATTACATTGAAATTTATCGTAAAATAAGATCTAAGTGATTACAATTATATCTGATAAACATGTTTAAATTAGAAGCAGGATTGATAAGAAATTGAAATTAGTAAAGTAAAACAATCAGTTCTTTTGATCAAAGGAAGAAGCAAAATACCACTGATATAGTCATTCGCACCAGTATCAAAGTGAGTAGACAAGTAAATTTAACAAATTTCCTCTTTTTTTTTTCTTCCTTTTCTTCAAATGGTGTCACTACTTTCAGCAGAACATCGAAAATGAATGAAAATCAAGTGTCCACAAAAAAATCAATTTCAAAAATGTGATTTCGTCAATAGAATGCAATTCTATAAACTTCGGGACCATTTTATCGAAAGGAAACTATCACCATTATATTTATCGCAGAACTTCATCAATACCACTGTTATTACAGTAAACGTTTGTCCTGCTATTGTCTACGAAAATATAGCAAGCTATGTTGCTTCACATATAAACAGAATTTTATTAAATCCGTAACAACAAAACTCACACTAACTGATATATTTGAAAGAAATCCACAAGGCTATTCAGAAATGTTGATGAAGAAATAAAATATATACGATCTTTGCCAAATACAGTAGCAACAGTATCATCAATAACAGTAGCAATAGTGTCACCATTTTCCTAACTACTATTACCATTATTATTACTGTTATTATCATTAAAACGAACGACCTTTATAAAATGGTAACTAAAAAGTCCTCAAAAACCAAATTTCAGCGATATTTTACATTTGTTGCATAGAGAAAGCTAGTCTTAATTTGTCAAAAAAATAAAATAGAACTGGAAAAAATATAAAATGAGAGTTTTAACAACTATCTACAAAATTATAAAATTATAGTCTAATTAACTAGAACTGAAGGCCTTCAGATACATAACAAATGCAATGCCACATATTATTCTAAAAATCGTCAATAATCAACTAAAAAATCATACACTTGATTATAAAATCAAATGAAGATATCCTTAAACTATATAACTAAGAACCTGAACGCTAAAAAACTAGACCAATCTCAGTATAAAAACATTATGATAATGCTGCTTTCACTACAAAATGATCATTATACTCAAATATTGAAAAACAAAGCCCCTCTAATAATAGCACATAACACTACTACAACTTGATAGAAACTGACACCAAAATACGGAAAATGACGACATATCTCTGAAATCTAATTAACATCAAGAATATCTCTGCTAAAGCATTTTCATGTTAGGATCATTTTCTTTCAGGAGCTCAAAAACAAATAACACCACGAACCACTTTATGAAATTTGAAGAATTTTAAATAAAACACTCCATTTCAAAACTTAAACGATTTAAAATTAGTATGCCTATTACACTAAAAATACGATCAAAGACTTTATCAATAAAGATTTAAGAAACCAGAACAGTCTCGAAATACCAATAATTACCAAAGTGAGTATTCGTGAGTTAATAATAGACTGATAATTAGATCAAAATATTATAATAAGAAAACTTGAATATCTGAAATTTAGAGAGAAAAAATGTCTAGTAGATCAGCATTTGCTATAATGGAAACAACGCAGTCAACAACGAAATTTTCAAAACAAAAAGTTGCTTGTTAGACAATATAAATCAAACAGTGAAATCTAGTGTCCAGTAATATACAATGCCAACAATGTAGAAATAAGATATAAAATGTGCAAAAACGAAATATATGATTTCAATAAAACTACTGTCAGCGCACTGAGATAGGGGATTAATACACTACTAAGATTAGGAGACAGCAACTCAACGAGCGATAATGTCCATGACAACATTAAATCCCAGTTGAACCAAATCCATCAGCACCACGCTTACTTTCTTCAAGAGACATCATTTGTATAAATTCGCAATGTGATATTTTCTCACAAATAAGTTGGGCTACCCGATCGCCTTTTTTCACCTTTAAAAACTCTAAATAACATGTATTCATAAATCAGGACAGCAGAACAAATATAGCTGCAATTTGCAAAATAAATTCCCTGCTTTTACCGACAATAAGTTTATAAAGTTTTTGCTCTTTTTCTTCAAAACTATTTGAAATTACCAAAACTTAATGGCAAACATTTTAAAAGAACAAATCTGTGTTCAAATTAGTTGTAATACTTGCCAAAAAATCTTCACTGCTGAAATTAAAAAGGAGTACATTGAGTGGACCCCTGTAATCTGAATCAATAACTCCTGCTCCAACATCGATAAATCTTTTCACTGCGAGACCTGAACGTGGTGCGATTCTACCATAATAGCCTTTAGGTATTTCAAGCTCAAGGTCTGTTTTAATACAAGCTTTGCCTGCAACAGAATCTAAGAAATAAATTCAAAAAATGCTATGGAGTCACCATTATTGCAATGACTTAAATTCAACAGTTCTCAATTCTTAAGATTGAAAATTACATCAAATATTTCAATTTAATTATAAATAAATAGAAATTACCAGATGCAGGAACTAAACAATCGTAAGCGCTATATAAATCAGCACCTGCTGCCCATGTAGATTCATAAGTCGGAGTGTGAGCGTTCTCAGTAACTTTTCTGAAGTATATATGCTTTTTCTCAACTTCTTGCGAACAAATAATCTGTAAAGGATTACTGAGAATCAATGCATTAAAAAATTTGTTCCTTCATGATGTTTACATTTTGAATTTTCATCTAAAGAAGGAACGATCAAAATCAGCAGGATTCTTTAAGAAATGTACTAGTTTATAGTTTATTATCTAAAGAAAATGCTTCTTTGATTTTTCTTAAGTGAGAAAAATTCTACATCAATTTCGCTCAACTTCTAAGAACAGCCTCTTAAATTTGAATTGTAAAAAAGCATAATCATTAGCTGGCATATTGCCTGAACAACCCATAAAGACAAAGAATTTAGCTACTCATTACATTTATTTCCTCATAATCTTTTTTATTTGCAACATTAAAATGCTCCTAAAACATTTTTCATTCTATTTCGAAGAAATGATCGACAAAAACTACTTCAAAATCTGATAATATATACAATAAAATACAATACACCACCTCATTAATTAAGCTTCTTATCTCATCTGAAATTACTTCACTCGAACGTCGTATTTCTCTGGTCCCATTTGCCTGATTCTTGCCACCTGGCGACAAAATACCAATATTAGATGTCATACGTGATTTTAAAAACTTGGATAGAGAAAATTTAAACCTCAGCTTTCCTGTAAGTGTTTAGAAAACATGAAAATTAACTTGACATGAAAGTAAGTAAAGTAGAACTCCCGGCAACGCTTTAATGAAAATTGGAGTAGTCAGTTGAAATGGTCCAGTCTTTCTCCTAGATATCTAATAGGAAGTGAGCATTTCTGATAGCAAAATATAAGCTAAAGACGTTAGTTTCGACTTCAGTTATAGCTTCATAATTTTGTTTTGCATACAAATATACTTGGTTTACAATGCAAACAAAATTGTACAAACACAAATGTGAACAAAAGTGCGAAACAAATTTAAAACTTCTAACCCATATAAACAACCGACACAAATCAGCTGACGCATCCTGTCTTTGAAAATACAGATGGATGAAAATTTTCAGAAAGGACTTGTAATATTGAGTTCGGCCGTCAAAACTTTCCAATGTCACTAGCGCGAAAACAAGTTCTCAAAAGTATCACGACAGAGGTTAAAATAAGGTTGCTCGTGCTGCTCCTTAGTTTCGAACTGCTGTAAGATGTGTTAAGATTTATTTTAAACTTTAATTATAAAATATAGGAGTTTTTGTGAGGCTTATATGTTATGGCATTTTCATCAGTCTAGCTCGAGTTTTCAGGAAGTAGAAAAGTGATGTATTCAAAGAAATAATAATCAGTGTATTTGGTTTAAGTTGCAAAATTATTTCAGCATTGTTTAATTTATTATTAACTTTCTTGTATGAGAATTTTGTTTGATAATCAAGCAAAAATAAATTAAACATCTACTGATCTGGTACTATAGTTATTGGTATATTCCCAGAATATATTTATTTTCTGGTGCATTTCTGTGCACTTGTAATTTTTAAATTATTAAAATTCTTTCAAAATGATAGTAATCATTTTAAAAAGTTGAAAACTAAGGCAATGAGTTTCGAAAAAATTAACAAAACTTGCAAAATTGGTACTGAAGTGGGATCTGAGAAAAATGACTTCCATTCAGCATCATCATGTGAAATTGAAAAACATCTAGGCTTAAACAATAATTCGTCTTATTCCAGTCCATTAGTATTTGATATGAATTCGATAAGACTCTATAAATCAAGATGAATGTGTATAAATTAGCTTTCGCTGTGACAAATAGACCGATGAGCCCATCTGAGCTTGAACCAAACCAACCCAACTATCGGTGACTTTCCATTTTGATATTATATCTTCTCAATTTTTTTTTCTGAACACAATTTTTCACTTTTGAAATAGTGGAAAAATCACATTCAAGAAATTGTGCTGTATAATAAATCCTACTTTCTGAGGACAAAACGCTAAATATTCTCACACTATTGCTAAATGTTTTCGAGCGAATCATTTCCAAGTTAGTATAACATTGATCTAATTTTGACTAGTTTAATGCTTAAGAAAGAGCTTATGGCTTTATCATCGTTTGCCGAATATTCAAATTAAAACTTATCAATTTTATCATAAAGATTTTACATTTTGTAATGGCTAATTTATTTTTTAAAAATGAGCTTCCTCATGTATAGAGAGAATAATGATGATAATAATGATAATTTGGGAAACTGTGACAGCATAAATAATAATGATAATGGCTGCATTTAACTGTAAAAAATAATTCTTAGGGTTAATTGTGAAACAGAAACAATCGTTTCCTTCATATGCTTCAAAATCGTATTAAAGAAGACATCTCAAATTAATCCCATCATTACATTTTTGAGAGGATTTTGTAAGATTATACAGAATTGTATGTAACTTTCGAAGGCAGATCCATCCTTGCTTTTCTGATTTGAAAGTTCTGCATCGCTATTTAATTTTTGAAATTTTTAGATAGATCTCGCAAATATTAACAACCTAAATATTTCCAAATTCATTCTTTAGTGAACTAACATAAGAGTTTTATGCGCTAGTTTTTTAAATATTCAAGTTTTTTTTGAATTTCTTGAATACGTGTTTTTCTCTTACATTCACTTCATATCTGTATTCATTAATACTTGCGAATGTTAGAAGTTATAAATTTGTAAAAAAGCTAATTAGAGAATAATAATAATTTTTTTATTTCATATTGTTTATTTTTGAGCAGTTTATTTGGTTTTTAAGTTACTTTAGTTTTTCATCATGTTCTGAAAAGCTTTACATATATAAACGTGCTTGGTGAAGTACAGTAATGGCACAGGTATTAATTAATTTAAGTAGGCAAATATTCTAAAACGGTTTACATTTCTTAATCACTAATATTACTCTTTCATTTTATTTAAAATGAATTTTGTTTGAAGAGTAAGAAAAAAAGGAACATAGCTTCATAGCTACAATATTGGTTGCTGTCCTTCAGGATTTTCTTCGAATTAAGCATCGCCTACTAATCCCTGAGGAAATGCTATTTTTTTTGCTTAAAATGAACCTAAAGATAAATCATTTTAGGTTTCAAAGAATGAAATTTATCAATATTAAAGTCTTCTTCATTTTTTTGACTATGCTTTGTCTGTTATGATAATTTCTCTTTTCTCTTTTTGTTTGCTCAGTTCAGTGTTACTAATTGTAAGTGTTCGAAAGTAGAATTAGATTCCAAAAAATATTTAAAAGCAATAGTATAAATAAAAGTTTTCATTTGCCATTGCTCATATTAACTTTATTGTCCTCATGGTGATAGAATTCTGAATAATGTGTTTATCTGATTATGTTAATCGACAATTTATATAAACAGAAATTCCTAGTTGAAGTTACGATGAATGTATTTACGATCAGTGTCAGCTTCCAGAAATGATTATGTAATATTTCATTGTAAATTATTCAGGAGCTGCACGAATGTTCTAAAAAATGTTGTTCCATGATGTTCATTACTGACATTATATCTGATTTCCATAACAATGATATTCAAATTGGAAATTGCTTTAATATTTTATTGGTTGCATAATAATGGTGCACTCCATGTACCGCACTGTGTGTTGAAATGTAAAGATGCTCACATGCAACAGGTTTTGTTTCGTTTCTATCGTTATTTTGATCTGCTTATAAACTTTGTGAAAAAAAGATCTACAAGAGTAGTGCAGATCTACCTTAAGCATTTACATGTGTAATATAGTTTAGATGCATGATAAATGTTACACTTCTTAGCAGCATAACCTGCTTTTAAATTCTTAAGCAGTTGCACAAATATATAATATGAACTCTTACCTGCTTTATTTAATGTTTCTTTTAAATTTCAGTTATCAAAAAATTTTTTAATCAGCTATTGCAGTTTATTTTCTGATTTAGATGGAAAAAGAATGGTCAGCAAACTTTGCATTTCCATTGCTATCATTACTAAAAGCCACTGGTAATGAAACTGCAGCACATAATCGAGCAATTGAAATTTGCAGGTGATTAACAATTACTTTAGCGTATTTATATGCACTAATGTAACTGATCTTTTTTAACTTTCCTGGATTCACCCTCATTATTTCTTATATATCAACTGTTTCTGTTTCAAAAAAATAATGCAACTTTTAATATGATTTACTAAAATCTATCGAATATCACTAATTAAATTTTATTAGAGACATAATTCTTTCCGAATGCTGTACTTAAATCTCGAATAAAACATTTTATTGCATCAATCAATTTACAGAGAAACAACCACAACTATGATCGAAATTTGTCTTTTAAACAAAAAAATTGTCTTTTTACAATTTTTTTATTCAAAAACATCTGCTTACTACAGTTTTAGTAAGGAAGCTCTACAAAGCTTATTAATTAGCCAAAACTATTTGAAGGATGAAGTTTATCTCCTGTGAGATAAGTTTATCGCTTATCTCTCAATCTAATCTTCTACTTCATATATCAATTTAATCCTTAATAATACTGCTGACTTCGCTCACAAGTAGCCAATTCATTCTAGCATAAAATCGAAAAATAATCTTATTTTGTTACTATAATCACATTCCACTACTGTTGGATTGTTTTAACTGAGGGTCGCCTATAAATGAGTGCAGAATAGTAGTAAAATCATTCGAACAATAATTTTGTATGTTGCAAAAAAGAAGTTGTGCTGCTAATTTTAGGCAAACTTCTTACTGTAGCAATCATATTTTTTAGCAAAGCAGAGTACATGTAAAATTACACCGTTAAAACTTATAACTCTCAAAATTAAGTGTTTCCTTGGCCACAGGGTATTACTTTTTTAAAATTTTGGAGCATAATATTAAGTAGATAATCCTTGAACTAAGTTTAACTTCATGCGCACTCGAATTTCCAGGACTATTACAATAATTATTGTCATTACATTTTTCCAGATTTCTCTCTATATATGAACTTCTACAATCCTAAAAAATATTCCCATAGAAAAACACTGCTGACAATGATTTATTATTCGGTATTTGCGTTAATAATATGAAGTAGATTAATTTTACATCTGTATGCACCCAAATGTAGATTCTGTCATATGCACTATGTCAATCATATTGCAACTCTATTCATCATAATCTTCAAACTGGAGCAGAAAAAAGTTGATGCTGCAAAGTTTTCTTTGGGACTGAATCAGCAAATAGAAATTAAATTAGAGAATTTGTCAACATACAAAAAAGTAAATGAGTGAAAATAAGTGTGATTACATCAATGCATGAGTGTTATATTCCCTAAGGTAATATGCTTAGAATGGACCGAAATATAGACTAATTTAATCCGTTCTGAAAAAATAAGGATATAGGATACACTCAAGCATTTAAGAGTAACTTCTATTTTCATTGAGAAAAAGATACTGCAATCAAATTTTATTTATTCATTACAGAAATACTCTATTTGATTAGAGTGTTTGCTTATGGTTACAAGCAAATTTCATTAACAGAAAAAATAAATAGAAGTCTTTCTAAACTTTGTTCACTTTTCTATTGATTCGTTTGTATGTTTAAGAAAAGTTGAAATGCTTAGAATTTTGAAGCAATCTTGAAAATTTTTTTTCCCTTCATATTTGTATTGCATTCAAATAAGATTTTAATTTTCAAAATTAAGTAATAATTTCAAAATTCTAATGAGTTTCAAATTTCAATTGAAGTCAATTTTCAGCTCCACTTCTAAAAGTAAGCATACAAGTACTGAAAGCAAATAAACATACGCTGTCAACAAATAAGCCTTATAAAAAGATTTCACTGTATAAGAAAGATATGATGCCTATTCACGCAGTTAATATCTTACTTTAATATTATTATTTTTTCTCGATGAACTGAGTCATTTTTTGTTCGAAGAATATTTTCAATACATAATCAGCAACTGTTCAAAAACTTTTGTATTTCATCTATTTAATAATCAAAGAAACCATAGTTAATATTTACAACAGCCTAAAATCTTGCTCCAATATTATTATGTTTAGTAATAAATGAGCATTATAAATGTCTACATTGTATAAGAGTGACCCTTTTGACTGATATGCAAATGTCAATTGGAAATATGCCAATTGATTATGTCACAGTCACTTTTCTCAAACACACAATAATTCATAATGTTTCTTCGCTCTAAAAGCACTCCCAAGAAATCCAATAACTGTAATTATTCTCATGAGAAAAAAAGAAGAACCATCAAATATTGTCACACAAAAAAAGAAAAATACCATATGATCAAAAGTAATTCCTTCCTATTTTCAAAGATTTCAGCAATTTTTATCTGTTTATTTTTGGCTCAAAAGTGAAATTGTTACAATAAATTGAAAAACGTTTTTTCTTTTAATTAACTGCTCATTAGTTCAGACTTTTCTTTTAATAATGAAAATAGATAAAAAAAGAAATTATCACTTCAAAAATGATTATAATTGGGTAACAGTTGCAATGACAATGATGATTACTGCAAAATAGTGATATTGATCATCAATATTATCCTGATGACTTTCTTACGATAATGATAAGAAACCAATTCATATGTTCAGAAGTAATGGGATGTTGGTCGAATGTCTCGCAGGATGCAATAAGACCGATGAGCGAACAATTTTGGAATTGGGTCTTTTGCCTTGGCGAGATATTTGTTCAAATTTACATGGTGAAATGCTGTTTTGTAGTTCTTATCAACAGGGCTTTAATAGAATTAAAAAAATCACGAGAACATTCTTCAAATTATTTTAATCTAGTTTTATCTCTTCATTTAATGAAAGATGAAAGCATAATCAATTTTTGATAATTTTTCTTCCTTTTATTTAAAATAAGTGTGCACCAAAGATGAAGAATTTATTGTTTTTTAATAAAATAAACGAGCAGGGGTTTTTGCTTAACACTGTGAATACGTAATGTATAAAAACTCTGGCAAGTCAGAGAAATCCCATATCAAAATTGAATTCTTAGCGGTTCATTACAAAACATGAACGCCAGCACAGAAAATATAAAAACAATCATTTCTTTGAGTTGAGTTTTACTTCAGCTTTCAAGCATATAATTATTCTGATTTATGATTTTTTAGTATACAGCGATTAGTTCAAGCAAGAGAGAGTAAATTATCTAATTATGAATTAACTACGAGTATATTTTTTGGATCACATCATTAAAAATTCTAAAATGTTGAAATAAAGAAAAAGTTTTCAATTTAGCGATCATACTAAACTGCTTATATCTACTAGTCAATTCCAAGAAATAACAGAAAAAAATTGCCAATGAAATTGTCAGAATTTCAGTTCTTCAGACGCAATTTCCATGTTGGCGATTAAATATCAATAATCTCACAATAAACTGCCAGAAAGAAAGTTACGAACTTCACGAAAGCATGAAATTTTTATCCATAAACGAGTCATTACCAGTACTGCAAAAAATATGCTCGTTAGCTGAATTTTTTAAATTGTGCCTTTAATCATTTATCATTCTTGACTAGCTTCAAAATTTTCTCATTATTTCTTATAATTTGTGCAATCAAAAGTGTTTATTGATTTCAGAAGTTTGAATAAATTTGCTGAATGTAGTATAAGAGACTACGGCTATTTTTGTGGACACAACAGTGAAACTGTAAGCTATTATAGAAATAATGACGAACAAATTTGCAAACCTTATTTTTAAATGAAGTGATTTCAACTCTAAACATGTTTTTTATTTCATGAACCACTTCATCTCTTTCCAAAGTTATTGCATAACTTGTTTGCAACAGTTTGTAATCTTGGTCTTTTTTGCTATTATATTACTATTACAAATAAATAAAAATAAATAAACAAAATAATGCCATTTTCGAAGTATCTGAAATATTACCACTCACATTATTCTTATTATATTTTCAAATATTTTGTGTTATTTGAATTCTGAAGAAGATTAAAATCAAAACTCATATTGGAACAAAAGTAATCAGTATCAATGACGCGTGTGAAAAATATTAGTCCCAATTTTGCTCTTTGAGAATTTTATACCAAAAAATTCCAGTCATTGTGATGACCAAAATTACTTTCAGCTGATTGATCGATTATTTTGGATCAGTCGTGGTGCAATAAAAGATATGTTGAAAATCAAATGGCCCGTTTTACCTGCACCTTGTAATATCAATTTTTCAAGGCGTGAGCTGAACACCTTGAAGTCTATTTCCGTGCGAAATTTAAAGTCTCAATGCAAAGCATGTAACTTATTGCTTGGCTTTATCATACTGCTTCCGTACTTTATACTTTACACTTATTAACTGAAAAAATTATTGTTGAGCTCTAATTTGGAAGCAACGTGAACTATTTCTGCATATCTTTGATAATACTTGTAAGATGTTAAATTATAAACTTGAAAAATAAAACGCAGTACGATAGCTTTTTCCACACAAAAATGCATAAAGTAATGACCGTTTCTAAAGTCATCATTCATATCCCTAATTCGTTAATTCAATGTTGATTGACTTCAAATTTTGCTTATAATCATTTGCTTTACTAATCAGCATAAAGCTACTTTAGTCTGAAGCAAAAATTCTGTTTGAATAAATTTTCCTTATCATAAACCATACTTTTCAGCAATGAAATTGCTATCCAACATCGATTCTTGTTCTTTTAATTCTGTTACTGATAACAAGTACCTCAATAACTCAAATAACTTGTTACTATTTTGCTTCTATCTTTCATTAATGAACAAAATCTTAGAGTTTTGCTTTTCCTGCGGAAATAATCAGTGCATTTCGTCTCTGCACTGAATCACTCTTCATTCGTTTATTTTCATACGTCTGAACAGTTTTAATTGTAGAAAATTCAAAATCTTAATTCATTTCGGCTCTATAAGAAACTTTGAATGTAGTCTTGAAGGATATGTAACCATTCCACAAAACTACATCTTACTGTTTTAAATATGTTCTTAATCACGATGCAATAAGTGTGGAGTTTGATAAATATGAACTAATAGACTTTAAAACTAAACTGATTACTGCTGAAGAAAACGCTTTTCCATGTGCTCTCGCTAATTTTATTATGATTTAGTAGGACAGTAACACTAGGAATCTAAGATCTAAAGTAATTATGATTTAGCTAGAAGTAGTCATAATTTTTATACAAGCAGCGATGTATATTCTGATAATAATATAGTTCGGATATATTATCGCGTTCGTCAGTGATACTCACGTAAGCAAAAAGTTTTCTATATCGGCACGGACTTATTCATTATGCTTTTGTGCACGTGACATCAGTTGCTGTTCTTGTTTCAATAAATTTTCAGAAAGGGAAATGTATTGTAAGGCATAACTTAGCGATGTTTCATTTTTGTTTCTTTGGCTTTATGAAAGGCAATCATTGAGTGCGGATAAGCAGCATATCATAGTATAATCAATTCTACACTATCTGCATCTCATTTCAAATCTATATATATCAGAATATACATAGCAAGTTGCTCGACTCTGCCTAGTTCCCGAGCGGTTGACCAGCCAACAATTCTGATCGTATACAAAGCAGGAAATGGAGGATAAACGGAAAAAAACCAAACCTGGAAACATGGATAAAAACAAATGGAAAACAGGTGAGGTAGATGAAAAAAGCTTCATAAAGGACATGGGAAAGCACTCGACTAGTGTACAGAAACCAGCAGAAATGAGTGCCGAGTGAGTACAGCGAGAGTGCCAGAACACGATTTTACGCGAAAATCAAAAAGACAGAAAAGGACATTAACCTCTGACCTGCTGCACATGACCTATATATAT